GGGGGGGCAAAGAATGGTGGTAAATTTTTAACAAACCCCTCTGTCAACTGCTCCCATTGCTGCAGCGGGCAAACAGAGCCAGAAAACTTGGCCTGAGTATGTGATAATTACTCTCTTTGAAATGTGAAGTGGCTGGGTAATATCCCTCATTGAAAAGGAAAGTGCCTGCCCATAATGTCTTAGCAAGTGGCACCCTTTGGGCAGAACATTCATGGAAGCTGAAGTCAGGTATATAGAGACTTAGATTTTCATATTTAAACAATTTATATATTTAGCATGTGACCTTGAGGTATTCTATACCCAGAGCTGGACTCTCCTCTGTACACAGATGTTGGCTCTGGAGAGCCAAGAGACAGAAACCTTTTGTGAAACTTTGCAACATTTCACATATCAGATGCTTAGCAACAATTGCAGTCCTCTGCCTTTCCTCAGATGACGGCTTGGCCGTGCACGGTGGTGCATAGTGAGAATGGTAAGTCAGCCGGTCAGACACAGCAGCCAGGAGGCCTCCAGATGTCCCCTTCCCCCTCCCCTCTCCCCCCCCACTATATGTCCACTGTGGCCATTGTGCTGTGCTGTTATGTGGTGGTGGGAACAAGGGGCCAGGGTGGTACTGTCATGCCACCCTACCCTAATATTCATCTTAATAGTAATCCTTACACTCCTTGGATCCTCAGTGTGCACTAGCATGCATGTTGGGGAAAGAAATGACCCAATATTCATAAAGCAGGTGGCCACTTATTGGTTCTGCAGGAGCACGGAACACGTTGGTTGGGTTTTCTGTAAGACCACCAAGTGAATAAGTGGTTTTGGGGAGCGGGGCTTGGAAATTCATACACACCATGAGTAAAAGATATCTTTCAGTGGGGGTATAGGGGTAGCAGTGGTTCCTCAAGGCCACGGCTTTAATGCAAAGTCTTAGGAGCACTGCTCTGCTAACATATTTTCTGCAATGCAACAGTAGCAGTTTTCATTGGCTTCTGTTAATGCCCTGCTCAGAATTGCCTGTCACCACTGATGGTGGGGTTCTGGGGAGTTGGTCTGAAGATAAGAACCTTTACCAACCTCATTGCCACAGACCCTGCTCCTCAGTCCTCCTGGTTGTGGGTCAAGGAGGGATAGATGCATAGAAGAAGTAAATATAAGACTCCAGTGATGGTGCAACTGTGAGGACTTCAGGGTTATTTGACAATGGCACATACCTCAGGGACTGTGATCTTTTGGGAAGAGATGGCATCCACCTCATGCCAAAGGGGAAGAAGATTTTCTTGGCTAGAATGGCAGACCTCCTGAGTAGGACTTTAAACTGAGATTGCTGGGGGATGGACCATCAACTACTAATAGAAGCCTGAGAAACAGAAACCTTGAAACCAGCGTCTCAGGGTACAGGAGGAAGCTTTCTCTGACACCAGCCAACAGACAGGGTATTCCACAGATCATCAGAAAGCCTAGGACCTCCATTGACAGGCTTAGTTGCCTGTACAATAACACTAGAAGCATGGGAAACAAGCAGGAGGAACTAGCCCTCCTACTAACCAACAAGCAATACAATCTTATAGGGACCACAGAGACCTGGTGGGACTCCACCTATGACTGGACCACCCTGTATACAAGGGATTGTGTTGGGAAGAAGGGCAGAGGAGTTGCTGTCTATGTGAAAGAACATTACACTTCCCTTGAAGTGAAGATTGGAAACAAAGAAGGGTGACTTGAGACCCTCTGGGTCAAGGTACATGGAGAGCATGGGGAAGAGGATTTGACCATAGGATGTTATTACAGCTCTCTGAACCAAGAGGAATTCTCTAGAGAACTGGCAGAGGCTGCATGCTCTCAGAGCATGGTCATCATGGGTGACTTCAACTACCCAGACATCTCATCGGATGAGCACTCAGCCAGATCCAACTGCTCACAAAGCTTCCTCACTTGCATTGAGGAGCAGTAACTCAGGAAGTCTATGGGCTGACCAGGGACAAGGCACTCCTAGACTTGGTTCTTGCCAAAGGGGATGATCTAGTGAGCAACCTGAGGATTGAAGGGAAACTGGATGACAGTGACCATGAGATGATCACTTTCTCCATCCACTGTAAGTTAGGGAAATTGACCATTAGGGTAGAAATCCTTGATTTTTTTAAAGCTGATTTCCACAAGCTCAGGAGGTTGGTTGGTGAGGCCCTGTGGGACCATGGTCTGATGAGGAAGGGAGTACAAGAAGAGCAGTCATTCATCAAGGAAGCGATCTGAAAAGCTCAAAGGAAGTCCATTCTCTTCCATAAGAAAAGCAGCAAAAGAGCTGGGAGACCCCCTTGGCTCAACAGGGAAGTCATGGACCTCCTGAAATTAAAATGAGAAGGCTACAAGGGATGCAAGTCAGGAGTAACTACCAAAGAGGAGTATTCAGCAACAGCCTGCACCTGTAGGGAGCAGATCAGGACAGCAAAAACACAAAAGGAATACAAATTGGCAACCAGAATCAAGGACAACCAAAAGTCCTACTATAGATATGTAGGAAGTCGGGGAAAAAAAACAAGGGAAGAATAGGGGCCCTATTAATGTAATAGGATGGCTGATAACTGACATTCAGGACAAAACTGAATTCCTGAATGAATACTTCACAATGGTATTCCACCAGTCCAAGGGCATTAGTCTGCTTGGAAGGATACAGGATGATTATGGTATGGGTGACCACCCTCCCATAATTGTAGATCTTGTGGGGGAACACCTACTAAGGCTAAATATCTATAAATCAGCAGGACCATCTGAACTACACCTGAGAGTGCTAAAAGAACTTGTCAACATCATAGCACGACCTATGGCAAAGTTATTTTAAGACTTATGGAGTTCAGGAGAGGTGCCAGAAGACTGGAAGAAAGCCAATGTGGTGCCTAACTTTAAGAAAGGGAGAAAGGAGGACCCGGAAAATTACAAACCTATCAGTTTGACCTCAATCCCTGGTAAAATCCTGGAGAAAATTATCAAAGAATCCATCACAGACAGGCTAACTGAAGGCAGTATTCTGAAGGATAGCCAACCTGGCTTTGTTACAGGCAGGTCATGCCAGACCAACATCATTTCCTTCTACAAGCTGGTAACTTGCCACCTGGATAGGGGAAGTGAGGTTGATGTCATATACTTGGATTTCAAAAAGGCCTTTGATTTGGTCTCCCATAATGTCCTCATGGTTAAATTGAGAAAATGTGGCCTTGACTACTCTATGGTCTGGTGGCTAGGTAACTGGCTCTGTGTTAGGACCCAAAGGGTATTGATTGACAGAACTGAGTCATCATGGTGCAAGGTTACCAGTGGCTTCCTTCAGGTTTCAGTATTTGGACCAGTGCTCTTCAACATGTTCATCAATTATTTGGATTTGGGTATTAAAAGTGAACTGGCAAAGTTCGTTGATGACACCAAACTATGGGGGAGCGTGGTCACATTTGAAGACAGGATGGCAATACAGGCCAACATGTATAGGCTTGTGAGGTGGGCAGACCTCAGCCTGATGTCATTTAATACGGAGAAATGTAAGGTGCTCCATCTGGGGAGAAATAATCCACAACATACTTACAGGCTTGGCAGTGCTACGCTTGCCAGCACCACAACTGAATGAGACCTCGGTGTCACGATTAACAACAAAATGAACATGAGCCATCAATGCAATGCCTTAGTTGGCAGAGCTAATCAAACACTGGAATGTATCTACTGAGGCAACTCGAGGAAGGCTAAGGATGTCATAGTTTCATAGTGCTTAGGGTCAGAAGGGACCTAAACAGATCATCAGGTCCAACCCCCTGCCCCAGGCAGGAACGAGTGCTGGGGTCATAACACCCCAGCCAAATATCTATCCAGCCTCCTCTTGAAGACCCCCAAAGTAGGAGAGAGCGCCACCTCCTTTGGGAGTCCATTCCAGGGCCTGGTAGCCCTAACCATAAAGTAATGCCTCCTGATGTCCAGCCTGAACCTTCTGTCTAACAATTTGTGGCCGTTATTTCTAGTAACCCCTGGTGGTACCCGAGGGAACAGAGCCTCACCCAATTTCTGCTGGCCCCCCCGGTGAGTTTTTAAATGGCCACCAGGTCCCCTCTCAGCCTTCTCTTGTGGAGGCTGAATAGATTCAGGCCCTTTAGCCTCTCTTTGTAGGGCCTGACCTGCTGCCCCTTAACCATGCAAGTGGCCCTCCTCTGGACCCTCTTAATGCTAGCCACATTCCTCTTGAAGTGCAGAACCCAGAACTGGATGCAGTACTCCAACTGTGGCCTGACCAATGCCACGTAGAAGGGAAGGATCACTTCCCTGGACCTGCTTGTGATGCATCTGTAGATGCATGACAAGGTGTGGTTAGCCTTACTGACCACTTCCTCGCATTGGCGGCTGACATTCATCCTGGAGTCAACAATGACTCCAAGGTTCCTTTCTGCCACTGTGTTGATCAGAAGGGTGTTGTTCCCCAGCCTATAGGTGTGTTGCTGGTTCCTCTTCCCTAGATGCAGTACCCTGTACTTGTCTGCATTGAATTCCATCCTATTCTCATCTGACCACCTCCGTAACCTGTCTAGATCTAGCTGGATTCTATTTCTGCCCTCTAGTGTGCCCACCTCACCCCACACCTTGGTATCATCAGTGAATTTGGACAGTGTGCTTTCCACACCCACATCCAGATTGCTGATAAAGGTGTTGAACAGTACAGGTCTCAGGACCGACCCCTGGGGGACTCCACGGCCCACATCCTTCCAGGTTGAAAATGATCCATTCACCAGCACCTTCTGGGTGCAACCATTTGCCAATTTACCACCCACCTGACTGTGTAGGCATCAATGCTGCAGTCATCTAGTTTTTTTGAGAGAATGTGGTGAAAAACAGTGTCAAAGGCCTTATTAAAGTCCAGGAAGACAACATCCACCTCAATGCCCTCATCCAGGGACTTTGTGACCTGATCATAAAAGGAAAGCAGGTTAGTTGGGCAGGATCTGCCCTCAATGAACCCATGTTGGATGCCCCTGAGCATTACCTCCCCTGCTGGGCTCTTTCAGGTGTGTTCCTTGATAATTTTCTCAAAGGTCTTCCCAAAGTTATCCTCCTGCTCTACTCAGCTTTGGTGAACCCTGATTGCTTTTTCCTCTAGACCAATACAAGCTGGATACCTGCTTACAGAGATGCACTGCAGAGATTCC